TCTAACCCAACCCCAACACCTTAAACCCTCGCCGACTCTCGGCGCTGAACCGTAAAGGCTCATAGCGTACCCCAGAAAGTTGGAACATTGATTTGGGATGATGAGTGCTGGGATCCACCTATACTATACTTTCAGGGCACGAGGATAGCGATGTTCCAACTTTCTGGCTGACCCTCAACACTCGCAGCTCTTAGTCAGACTTCGTCATCCCCGCATTCCTGAGTTGGCAGGTGGTCGCGCCGATAATCCGGTGGCTGGCCTTCATCATGGACCCTCCCACCCCCACCCTTTGGTGTTAAGGGCTTATATAGGGTTGAGAGTTTGCAGGCTTTAGGGTTTTATTGCTGAGGGACAAAGCCCAGCATTGAACACAAGAAGATATAGGATTCGGGGTCTTGCATTTTTGGAATCACCATACTTTGTTTATGGGACTTGCAGTAATGATCAGCGATGCGAAGGACACTTCTGATACAAAGTTGAGTTGTAATTAATGTTTAGGGCGTCGCGTTGAAGGTTTCGCGCTTGGCTGTGTCACTGCCTTTCTTTTTGAGATTGTGTTTTACGTTTTTTTTTGTTTTATGTGTTTATCTAACTTGTGGATGCTGCTTTTTCGGAGTTAGGGCATCGAGTTTAGGCATGAGTCGGAACCTGGGCTTCAGCGGGCAACCTTGGGGGTGAAACAGGGTACCCAGAGACTCCAATATCACTTAATTAAGGAATATACCTTAAACTATAGTAGGATCCCGAATATGATTTAATGTATATTCCTTAATTAAGGGATATTGGAGTCTCTGGGTAGGGCATGCGTCGGGTTTTGAGGTTTAGGGTGTACCTACACTTCGTTTTTTGGGTTACGCCATGTTGATAGTTAGGATCCTACAAGGTAAGCCAAAAAAGGGAACTAGAATGGAGGCTGTAGGTAGGGTTTAGGGTATAGTATGAGGCTTCTTCCGCCAACAGCACCTGTAGGTCAAACCCTACCCAACAAATGGGTCCCAAAGCTCTCGTAAACCCTGGCTGAGGCTTAGGGTTTGGGGTTTGGGGTTTCGGTTTTCAGTGCCTTCAACCGGTCATGGTAGGGAACAAGTCTGAAGAGTGCAAACTGCTGAAATCTAGGTTTAAGAGCTGTATAGAGTGCCTTCTTATCATGGTTCAATAAATGAAGCTCTTGGATCAAGGAGGCATAGAACCCAACACTCACCGGCAGACGGCTTTTGCCCGTCAACAATGTACCAACAGAAAGGAAGTTAAAGGAAAGTCCTCAGTGGAAGCCACACCCGCTAAAAGAAACAAAGCTCCAACCATGAAGCGTCCTGCAGGATGCAAAAGACGCGATCGTCAACAAACAGAAGCACTTGACTCCTTTCGTTACAAGGCCGCCCCCCGATGTGCCTCAGACTGCGCCGCTGTCCGCAGCGCTGCCGCGACGTCAGATGGGGTCCAGACCTTTTTTATCGCTTTACATGATGTCGTCGTATGGGTACACTTGTATAAGTTTCGCTATTCACATTCAAACCTAGCTCGACGACCGTCGTCGTCATCGTCGTCGTAGTAGTAGTAGTAGTAGTAGTAGCAGTAGCAGTAGTAGTAGTAGTAGTAGTAGTAGTAGTAGTAGTAGTAGTAGCAGTAGTAGTAGCAGTAGTAGTAGCAGTAGTAGTAGCAGCAGCAGCAGTAGTAGTAGTAGTAGTAGTAGTACTGGCAGTAGTAGAAGTGGTAGTAGTAGTAGTAGTAGTAGCAGTAGTAGTAGTAGTAGTTGTGGCAGCAGCAGCAGGACTATCGAGCCTGGCATATGGGATTTAGTAACAGCTGTAATGTCTTTTGTCCTCTTCGACATAGGTTTGTAAGTGAACGGTACGATGAATGATGCAGACTTGAGAACGAGGCCCCCGGCCGTAAATCCGTATCAGAATTACGGAAACTCTTACACTCTTAAGGCCTCACTTGAGTGAGCCGACCCCAAGGCAAAGTCTGTGCTTCCCGAGGCCTAATTCGATGGCTTCCATGTTCTTTCAGCAGGCAGATCCTCTCAGAGGGTTGGTCTTTAAGAATATTGGTTTGGGTTTTAGGGTTCAGGGTTTAGGGGGTTTGGGGGTATAGGGGCTTGGAAGCGTTCCATCAGAGTGCATATTGTCATATCGAGTTTCAATACGGCTCCTGGGTGCTTGTGTGTTCAATGTTTCAATGTTTTTATTTTTTGATCAAGAGTTCATCATGTGGCTGCTTAACGCTGAACCCTACCTTCCAAGGGTGTAGAAAGTTCGGGAATGGAAATTTGCATGTTGGGTATAGCCTGGTGCGGCCTCTAAGGATTTGGCATTTATGTTAAGGGTGTAAGAGCTTAAAGTTATGGTTTAAGTTTTAAGTCTAGGGCTTTGAGGTTTATAGGGTTCAGGTCAGGAGGTAGGATGTTTACCGAGAGTGCCCCTGATTCGTTTGTAAGTGGCTTCTTGCTGGGTGTTCTGGCTTGAGGTTTATGAGCCCTAAACATCTGAGTGGCTTGGGGATTTGAGCGTTTTGGTGCATGACATCATGCATTTTCGAGCTGGACGGCCTCTTCTAATTGTTGAAAACGTTTCCAAGGTTTTCGCGCTTCTCGACTGGAAGAAACTATGTTAGCTAAATGTTTCATGTGTGACGTGCTCGATCCCAAGATGCAGGGATTGAGCTGTGCACGGTTCGAAGGTGTTCATGTTTCTTAGCTGGAAGAGACGGCATTAGCTATGTTTCGTGTGAACTATTAGTTTCTGCATGGTTTGAGAATGCTTTGTTGCTGGGAGGTTTCGGATACCTTCAAGGGTGCCTTTCTGGTTCCTGCTCGGGACGGTAAAAGGTTTCTGTAAGGGTACTGTGAGCTTCGACTTAGTTTGTTTGAGAATTCAAGGTTACTGAAAATCTTCAGTACCCTGTATATATCTTTATCTTTATATGTATATATGTATGCATATATGCAGAAGCAATGGCATTCCCACGGCTTCGTGATGTCTGTACACGAGCGTTCCATGTGTTCAGGCATCGGAAATTCCCGCCTAAGTCCTAGCCCAACACCAACACCCCGACACCCCTTAACACCAACAACCCTTAAACCCTAAACCCTAAGCACCAAAAGCCGATACCTTTCTGGCCTTGAATACTCCACCTTAAATTCTTCGGAGCTCTCACACCCAGAAGTCGGGTTACGATTTAGGGATTAGGGGTTTCGGGGTTTAGGGCTTTAGATGTACATGCCGGCGTCCAGAGGCTTTGTCGAAGGGCGTTACAAGGGCAATCATAGGCTTGTAATACGTAGGGGGTTCTATAAAGGTAAATATGGAGGGCACTGCTGGACTCCTGTTGTCGATGGTTCATCGTTTGTAGTTGGTAGGGTCTCCTACTTTGGGAAGCTGTCGCATGGTCGGTCACCATCCCAAGGCCCTGGACGACTATAGCTAGATCTGATAGGCCTTTTTGACTGCAGTGCTTAAATAACCACGAACTCGGTGCAGGACAGCCTGTAGCCCTTAGACAAAAACGGCCCTAGGCCCCCAGCTTTAAAGTCTAAACTCGGACCTCTAACCCCTAAACCCTAAACTCAGACCCTAAACCCTAAACCCTAAACCCCTAAACCTGAACCCTAAACTCAGACCCTAAACTCTAAGCCCTAACATGGGCTTGACGGTCCTTGCCCTTGCAGGAGCCGTTTATCCCGCCAATCGGGCTTGAAGCACCTGCCAGGGCCCCAGATGTGTTGAGGGTTTAGTTTAGGGGCTTTAGGTTACCCAAAGGCTCTATGTAGCCCTATAGTATACACTTAGGCCCCAAAGTACCTATATCGGAACCCCTTTAAGGCCGAAGTATATACTCTATGGGTACATGGAGCCTTAGGGTTAAGGGTTTGCATAGTTTAGGGTGAGGTCTAAGGTTGTGCACGTAGTAAGGCATACCTTGGCCCCCCCGGACATAATCATGTTGATTCTACTGTTTGACAAGAGTGCTGATTCTATTTTTTGACAAGAGTAGTGACTGTATTCATCGCCTAGCATAGGAGCCTGAAGCATTTGTTCGATTAGTGTGTGTGGAGGGTTTACCCCATAGGAGTATTCAAGAACCATTAGAAACTAGTGGTTGCTTGGGTTCTTAGGCCAGTAGGGACAACGCAGGGCCGAAGTTTCTTGAAAAGAGGATCTGCGCAATCAGTCGTAATGATATTCCTCATATGTTCCTCTACAAGTATGTCACCCCTAGCCTAACTCGTAGTCTGATAAAACCCTAAACCCTAAACCCTAACCCTGGAAAAGGGCCCGTTATTCAAAAAGAAGCCTAACCCTAGTCTTAGCCGGCTAAGCCCAGGATCCCTCGTAAACTCCCACTGCCAAGCGCTCAACCCTACAAGCCGAAACGGTAAAGCCCAATATCTACGCCACACCTGCTCATTGGTCTAGAAACGAGAAATAATGCCTAGGCTGGACTACACCTGCCGAAAGTACAATACATGATCACATCACCGACCTGACATACCGTCGAAAAGACTACTAGGATGCCCAGTAGTACCCTTATTCCCTTTTTGTAGTCCAAGGTTCCTTACAAAGTTACCCAATACCAAAAAGAGAGGCTTTTTTATTCCTATTAAACCACCCCTCATAAACCCCGAGGCCCAAAATCCATAAACCCTGGAAGATGCGTAAGTCCACGGACCCCTTACGCCTTCAGACTCCTAAGACTCTTGTTTGGGATTCGTGGGTTTAGGGATTTAGGGGTTTAGGGTTTGGGGTTTAAGCTGTGTGGGACTAGGTTTCGAGATGTATTTTCAATCTCACTGTTTCGATTTTAGACCTCTCAAGGTCCAAGTTCCACATCCCAGACTGTTCTTGAGCTTCGTTAGATAAACTTCAAACACCATTTGCAAGCACAACCTAAGCCCCATTTACTGTATAAATCTTGAACCCTAAACCCGAAACCCGAAACCACTTGAAATCTTGGGGTTATGCGAAGCCTTTCCCTGTCGCATCGCTGAACCTGCCAAGATGTTTCTTCCGCGACCTCTTGCAGCCAGGCAAGGCTTTAGATATTTGTCCTTATAGGGTTTACCTGTCGCCTCAAAGCCTACGAAATAGTAGACGATGGCCCCAGAACTTAAGAGTCACGGGACCCAAAGGTAGGCGTTCGGGTCAAGACGTGTCTGATTGGTGGAATGTGGGTTTTCGTGAACCATTCTATTTAGGGTTTCACGCTCAGGGGTTCTATACCCGACATCAATGTTTAGCTAAACATACTCGGGACCCACCAAGACGAGCTGAGGTAAACTAGCTCAACCCTAAACCCGAAAGGGAACCCTTTATACAAACATACCAACAGTGTACAGGGCCCAGAGGGCTGCGCTGGAGGTACTTTGGGTGTCTCCTGGTGGGGCTGCGGCTTTAAAGATCGAGGGGCATTTGGGCTTAGGATTTTTGGTTTGAGGTTTGTACTTAAATTTTGACAGTAGGGGCGCGTAGCATTCCAAAGTTTGGGGATAAACAATGCTGTTCGAGCATCAAAAGTACATACATGGTTCGACTCTAGCTTCGTCGGAAGTGCTGGAGTGGGTAGCGTGAGCTTCTGCAGTTACCATTGGGCACGAAGCTTGCGAGAATCATGCTGTTGTTACTGTTGAGGATAGACTGAACCCTAAGGACTTGCATAAGCCTGAAGACTGCCATCAGAGTTCAGACTTTAAGGCTTGTCTGGGGCACAACCTACTCTTGTGTAGAATCCCTGAACTTCACCTGTAACGCCAGGAATGTGAAGTAGATCTTCAACTCAATTCCAACACCGCGGCAATGAGGACCTTTAAGACATCTCCAATTGCCAAGCACCCCCCCACCCCCCTATATTGCTGATTCCTGAAGGCCTGCACAGTTGCTCTCTTCAAAGGTGCAAGCGGCGCGCCCCCACAATACTGCGTGGAGAAGCATGGCGCTCGAGCTGTGGCGCCGAGTCGCTGGTCTCGAGAACGTGGAGGGAGCCCTGCTCCTGCAGCCGGGATGCCTTTGATTCTCAGAAGCAGGCGATCTCCAAGCACGAAAGCCTAAGGAAGGTCAGCTGCTGTCGAATCTGTGGTCAAACCCAACACAGGACCGAAAGGTGCGCCGACGACACCGAATTGAACCCAAGCAAAGAGGAGACCACGAAATCCGCGAAAGACGGAACTCCTGCATCAGGAGATCGCAATAAAACCCGAAGGGCGGAACACCTACATCGGATCCGGTACTATTGAAGCCGAAACAATGAACAATATTCCTTTTTGCCTTAGGGTTTCTTTTTATTATGACTATCTACTAGAAAGGAAGCCCAAGCCCTATTCTAATTATTAAGGCCCCTATGTTACGGACATGTCCAGCTGTGTAGAGGCGACTCTCAGGTACGTCGAACCTTCACAGGGCCTGGCACATTGACTTAGCCCCTAATTAAAGTAGGGGCCTCAATAACATATAATAAAAAATTTTGGGGCTTCTTCTTATGATTATAGTAGAGTGGGCCCCAAAGCCATATTCTAATTATTCGCCCCCCGACATTACAGACGTTGTACCCTTACCCCTTAACGCCAAGTCCGACCTGCTTCTTCCAAACGGCCTGGACATTCGTTGAAAGCCGCAAACGCTTTGCAGCCTTATACAGCGGCCCCCTCAAAGCTAAACTCCCAAATTCAGGCTCTGCATCCAACCTCCAAACCCCAAGCCCAAAAACCTTAAACCCTAAACCCGAAGCCCTTTTTCCTTAAAACCCTAGTCAAGCCCCGAGCCAAGCCCCGAACCCAGACCTTACGCTCTTTAACCCCCAAGCCCTAAGCCTTTGAGCGAAAACCTAAGCCGTTTAGGGTTTAGGGACCTAAGCCTCAAACCCCAATCCCGAAGGCCCCAGGCCGAACCATTAGATTCAACATTAGATAACTGTGCAATACTATACTGCACTATAATATACCATACTGTAAAATGCAACATACTGTATAAACTATATACTCTACTATTTTAGGAAGACATTGTGCTATTTGAGACATACTTGGAATTACTACTATACTATACTATACACCCTATTTTCCTATATTATACTGTTTAAGATTTACACTTCAAAACTAGTGTGCCGTCTTTTTGACATGGGTGTAGGCCTTGGCTCCCAGCTCCGGTGCTGCCTTGCCAGAATGGCAAGGCCTGGGCTCGAAAAGCAGGGGCTTAGGGGGGATTGGGATTTAGGGTCTAGGGTTTCGGTTTTAGAGGGTTTGGGATTTTACGCTGTGAGGGTTTCGGGTTGAGGGTTTCGGGTTGAGGGAGTTTCGGGTTGAGGGTTTCGTTTTGAGGGTTGAGGGTTGAGGGTTTAGGGTTTCGGATTGAGGGGTTTAGGGCTTTAGGGTGTAGGGTTTGGGGCTTAGGAGTTTAGGGTTTAAACCGAGTCGGGATCTGTGCTTTTCAGTGTGAGGTTTCGGGATTTGTGTTTTTGTGTTTAAGGAGTTTTGCTTTAGGGTTTAGTCGTTTAGGTTTAGGGTCTACGGGCCTGGAGTCTTGCAACCCTTGAAGCCCAAGAGTTGAGGATGTTCGGAGTTTAGAATGGTTCTGAGGGTGCCGGAGGAGTCCTGTAAAAAAAAGGCCCTTCCCCTTCTCGAACCCTAAACCCTAAACCCTAAACCTTAAGATTTAAGGTGTTGTATTGTACTACCAATGGAGCTTCGAGGTGCTTGAAGTCCTGGCTTTGGAGCTCCCCTGGGCTTTCAGTATGGGTTTAAGAGGGTATGGGTGAGAAGGCCCCGTTTAGGGTTTAGGGTTTAGGCCCCCCCACCCTGTAAGAGTGCTATAATAGGAATATACTAGGACCCTAATATAATCCTTATAGTTACTATTACAGGGTGGGGGGTGCCTTCTAAGGTATGGGGCTACAGGGCCGTTGCCGAGTGGGAGCTTGAGTCGTGGCCTCAACGAAGCGATATGGAACGAGGTTTTGAACAGAGAGATGCCGGGCATCACTCAAGGAGGAGACAGAGTGGCCTGCCTTATAACTTACTTTTGGTTCCGATGAGGGCCTCCGGCGATCTAGCGTGCCTCAGCATCGGAACAAACATGTTTAAGGACGTATACTTTTGGAAAGACTAATATAGAGCCAGGAATGATAATGCAGGTCGATCAGGCTTTCGTGTCATGAGAGATTAGTAATTTTCGCGGCTCCAACACCAATCATCTTCCTGGAGTTTGACGTAGATAGACAGATAGACAAACGAATAGACAGATGGGTAAATAGATAGGTAGGTCGACAGATAGATAAATATAGATAGACAGATCCATGAACTCAATAAGTAGGTTGATCGGTAGATAGGCAGATAGACAGGCAGATGGATAGATAGGTTGTAGTTTGTTGACCTGAACTAACTTGTCTAAGCACTCAGGCCATAGGACCTTCCTTGATTAATATAGAGGCCCTGATAACTACTTATACTCTTTGAATGGTTCCTAGATACTTATTATAGTATTATATGGACCCCGAAGACCTATTCTAATTATTAAGGCCCCTTACTATTGAATTCTACTACAGATCCCTAGATCCCTTATAGACCTTTAGACGGAACCCTTTAACAAGGAAACTTATTCTTATTAAGGCCCCTGGCTTTGGAGTCGTTTTCAGTCCCCGGAGAAGGCCCCGTGCCCGGCGCAGCCGACGCCACCCGCGCTGCGGCTGCTGGCGCCGACGGCTTTGGGCCCCGTCATGGGGACAGCCAGGCCGACATTTTTCATGTTAACATAGAGCTTCTAGAAGGTTTCTTGTTTGTGGTTAATGGTGTGTGTGTGTGTGTGTTTGTGTGTTTATGTGTGTGTGTGTGTGTGTGTGTCTGTGTGTGGGTGGGCGTTTTGCAAGGATTGTTTTGGGGTTCAGGGATCACAGCTGAATGATGAGACCGGGATTCTAAAGGTTGGTTAAGCCGTTCTGTGAGGGTTTTCCGGTGAAGGGCTTTCATAAGGGTTCTGAGAGTCGCTAATGCATCTATAGCGGGGTTCGGGTTAGGGCTTTTGTTTAGGGTTTAGGGCATGAATTAATCAGTTGGAGTGTGGCTTTCTGCAGGTTCTTTTGCATGGTGGTGACCGGAAGAGTTAGAGCGGGATTGAACTATTATAGTCAAATCGTAGAATGCGGTGACTTCAAACTCAAACCCTAAACCCTAACTCCCAAATGCCCTAATCGTAGGATGTGGGGACCGACGGGGACTAATGACTAAGGCATTATTGTATTACTAGTTCTTATGCCGATCAGCCAGCAAGGGCCGTTTAGTTTAGGGTGTATGTTAAAGAGTCGAAGTTGGGGGGGGTTGTGGAATCAAGGGTTTGCCCTAAGCAAGGTTGAAGGTCTAGGGTTTAGGCCTCAAGCCTGAACTGTGTTTAGGGTTTTGCTTCGGGCTTGTGTAACTTAGATCCCCAATACCCAACCTTTAAACTTTTGGGGTTCTTGTAGTTTGGTAGGAATCGAAAAGCTTAGCCTTTTATTTCTGTGGCTTGTTGGGGTAGTAAGGTAAGGCCTTAAACGGTATCGAACCCGAAGTCAGGGACCCTAAACCCCAAAGCCTACATGCAGTGTTGCAGAGCTTGCTGAAGGGTTTCGGCGGGTTTCAACTGCAGACTCTTGCGCCGGGATCCTGACCGTCGGCTCATGGGCAATTTCAGTTTGAGGGTTTAGGGTTCTTGGCAGAGAGCTCTGAGGCTTAGTGTTCATGGTATACGGACAGTTTCAAGATTCTTGACCGGGTATCCAAACATGTGTATCTGTGGGCTTGACTGACATTTTCAGAAATGTAACCCTGAAATGAAAGTAAGACTCCATGGGAATCTGAAGTGTGACAACAATGCAGCGGGACAAGTATCAAAATCCAGCGTCCAGGTTTGGTGCTAGACCATCGGAATTGTGCTTCCTGAATTACTAACTAAGCTTCCCCAGACCCCTGAGACCCCTAAACAGCCCTAAGCCCTAAGTTGCTCAAATCCTACACCCCTAGATATCGTGTTGCGTGCCACAGGTAGCCGGAATGCGGCCGAGAGCACAGCAGCGTAGCGAAGGCGACCGTGAGCAACCGCAAAGGAGCGGAAGCGAAGCGAGCATCACCGTAACCCTACCTAGAGTAACCAAGGTACCTTGACAAAGGCAAAGGTAACAATTGTGCAGGGTCATATCACGTTTGAAAGGTACGTTCAGCCACAATGCGGGCCTGAAATTGAAACCCGAAACCCTCAGCCCCAAACCGAATCCCGAAGTCCGAAACCTGAAACTGTAGGCTGGACTTGCAAATAAAAGGGCTTGCTTTCAGCGATTTTGTTCATTCGGTTCTGTTCACGTACATACTGGCTATATGCCCGTTTTGAGGGGTGATGTTTTTCGATACAAGGGTTTTTTCCAGCACTAGTTGCCTACTAATTGTAAGACTCTCATAGCGCGTAGGATGCCTTGTTGCCGCTATTTACCACAAACAAATTTAAAGACCTAAACATCAACAACCGTAGGTGTCCCGGCTTAGGGTGTTAGGTCAGGGTTTGCCGTTCAAGGCGCTTTCGGGGATCGAAGATGCGATCCCACGCCATGACTACCAGATAATGAGGGTTCAATACATCGGAGGGTGGCGAGGAGTTTAGAGGTGTTCGTAGGTTCTTGTAGAGTTGTAGTAGTTTTGATAGAGCATCTTACATGATAGACAGTGCTCTTTGTACGTTCTGGCTACACTGCCAAAAGGAAGAGTATCGTAGTGAAGTATACCCTGTCCTCCAAAATCAGAAGGCCCCTTTACCAAACCCTCGTCTTAGCCCATGTAGTAACCCTTTAGGGACCCAGACCTTCCAAAATCCCTTAATTCCCTTAATTAAGGAATATACCTTAAGTCATATTAAGGATCCTACTATAATTTATGGTATATTCCTGAATTAAGGGGTTTTGGAAGGTCTGGGGAGACCGAGAGGATCCTTACTCCAATTCTTAATGGGCCTGAAATAGTGTGTTCTGGGAGCGGCATGAAGTATTTGGCAGGACTTAAACCTTACAATCCTGCTTTGGGCTTGTGTTAGGGTTTATATATCTTTGAAACCAGGGTTTAGGGTGTATATCTAATCGCCGGCCCATAACTAGAATGCACTGTGCCTTCCTCAAATTCAGAGCTTGGGCATCGTGGCCGCGCGCGCCTTGAGTTCTCGCGACCAGTGCAGCCTTTGGCGAATACGTAACCCGGACCCCGGATTGCAGCACCTGTTTTGGATGGCCTATTCCATTTAGGGTTTAGTTAGGGCTACAATCCCATTTCAAGGACCGAAGGTAATCAACGAAGGTATTGCATTCGAGGGTCTAAGAAGTTCTTCAATACCCACCTCTGCCCGTCTTGCCTGCTTATGCTTTGCATCTCTATCAAGCGAACTCTATAAACCGTTATAAACCCTCAGCCCAAACCTTTGATTTCCTTAGAAGCCGCCGTCAAGGCCCACCGTCGGGTGCTTAGCTAAGCAATGGATGCAGCAATGGCAATTAATCAAGATGGTATAGGGGCCTGATTCTGTATGCGCCAGGGTTCCGTAATGTATCTATATATGGAAGTTTCCGAAAATAGGGGACCCTAATATAGTACCCTACATAGTAGGATCCTTATTCTAAGGACCCCAAAATAGGGTACCCCATTTTCGGAAACTCCCATATTGTTTCTTTAAAACTTTAGCTGAAAACCCGACTGTCATCGTTAAGGCTCCTATGTTACGTCAGTCTGCAGCTTTTCCCGAGTCAGAACGGGCCCAGATTAGGATGGGCTTTCTGCGTGTATAAATGTTGAGGCCAGTGTGTGCTTCTAGTGTCTATCGGCAAGGCTTGCATCATCATGATAGTAGTAGTACCTAGGAATCACACGCCCCACCAAATGTTGACCTACCTTACTCCATTGGATTCTTTGGACCCTTAGGGCAAGCGGGTCAGTATATCTCCATGTCCCCAAGTCTGTCGGTAGTCACAAATTGCGGTCCACAGTTTTGTTCGTTTGATCTAGTTACTAGTTGGAGTTTCTGGGTACAAGGGCTATGAGGGGCACTCTGCGTGGAAATCTACCGAGAACTCCGGGCTCTGCCCCCTTTCACCAATTGGATTCTCAATTTGGGCGTGGGAGAACCCCAACAAAGTATGAATATGATTTAGTTAGATATAGCATTAACATATACAGTACGCGTCTTTACCAGGCCCCTACATGGCCCATCCCAACCCCAGACCTTTAGCCCACCTGGCGGGAATCTTCGCTAACTCAGCAGGCGGGGTCTTTGCAACTACTCGTCTGCCAATTCAGGTGCAAAAAGGTCAGCGCGGTGATCGCATGAGTTTTGGGATAGAGTGACTGGCTGCCTGGCATCATGATACCGCAGTCACAACATGCGCAGTCCCTTACAGCAGCAAGTTTCTGTCTGGCACCATCAAACTCACAAAACGCACCAGACAGGGCAGAAGCCCGTGAACATCCACAAGCCCATGCTAGTAACAAATGTGAGTTTCCGAAAGTAGGGGTACCTTATTTTGGGGCCCTTATAATAAGGATCCTACTATTTAGGGTGCGGTGCTATATTAGGGTCCTCCATAATTTTCGGAAACTCCCAAATCGCACCTCCTGTCTGTCCGGCATCATCAAAGCACAAAATGCACAAGCATGTGGACCCAGTGGCGGCTTGCACACTGATTTCCCCTTGCTGTGGTGTCGGGCCCAAGTGTTAGGGCTAGAATCATGCCTCAGGGAAAGCCCAGGAGACTTGAACGCATCATGTCGCTCCAGCACCTGGGGTGTTTGGTGCAGGGCTTCAGGTACTTCCAACTTCTTTCTAAGCTTCGGTTCTCTTCACTGCTCGGGGCTAGCCAGCTGCTCCCTCAAGAATCCGCCCTAAGGACATCTGTCCCTACAATCGGTAAACATATACATATCTATATATATATATATATATATATATACATATATATATATATATATATATATACCTTGTATATATATATATATATATATATATATATATAGTGATTGGTTTATACACGTTTTATATGTACCTTAAGGGTGATCCTTCAGAACAACCCTTCTTGCAGCCTTCTAGTACCGGTACAGTCCTATAGAAGCCCCTGAGCATTCTTCGGCGCCATGGGGCAAACCTCCTCCATCTCCATGGATGTTCTTGGACTGGATGCCTGTGACTCAGATCCGGTCCGGGTTGCAGGGAATAGGGTTGAGGGTTCAGTATTTACAGTGTAGGGTTTGGGTTCAGAGTTCAGGGTGTATCTGTCTGGAGAGTAGGGAATGGGGGAATGGATCCCAATCCCTACAATGCCCAACACTTGCCCCCAATATCCATTCCCCCATTCCCGACTAAGCACAGGGAGTTAATGCAAGTCTTTGGGTTGAGGGGAGTCGTAAACAAGGCCAGTGATATCGAATGGGCGAGACAGACAACACATCTGCAGAACAAAGCGATCCGGCTGCATACAAGCTTCACAACTTTGAGTGTCCCCGGTGCTACACCCACGCGACATGATCCACAAACCCCAGAAACTTCAAAACCCCTAAACCCCGAATTCCCAGACCCAGACCCAAATTCCAACACCCCTAACCGAAGCTCACAACACCTTCGGATCCGATATCCTAGAGCTTGGGCTGCCAAGTAGACTTCGGTAGTTTTCAAGGCAAAGAACCTAGAACCGTATAGCGAACCCACGGATTGACCGTTCATTAACCAGGGTAACGTTCGAAACTGAGGCTTTCAGTTTCGGGCTTCTTGTCAAGATTTGCACATCTTCGCAACGTGCTAATCATGATACGGTTGATGATATAAATCCTGCATTACTTTAAGGACCCTAAACTATGGGAATTATGGTATATTCCTTATTATGGGTAATGCAGGATTTATATCATCAACCGTAAGGTTCTAGAGTCTCAGGTTCTGTGCGGTTTCTGCCTTCAGCTCTTAACCCTAACTATAAGGGCCCAAGCCAATAATCATATCCTCTAGGCCTCAGGTCCTGCTGTAAGGAATAGCTGGGGCTTACGGTTTTGGCTTTCTGGGGGAGGGTTTCGGCTTTGTGGCTAGGGTCCGGGATCTCACTACAAGGGTCCAGGAGCCTTAAGGTAATATAAGCGTCGTAGGAAGCCCGATATGATCAAGGAGTGTTCCTTGATTGGTTCCTGGTCTAAGTACTTGGATGCGAAGGGTCAGACGTAATGTAGACCAATACTAGGCCCACACCCTCTTCCCCAACAAGGACCACAATAGGGATCCTTCTACTAATGGCCGCGGAGACAAGAGAATATGTTAATCAACCGTCGGCATTGGGGTTGTGTTCAGAGCGCCACAGAAGAGTTGTTACATTGGTATCCCTAGCGATTATGAGCAAAGGAGGATTTTACCTCCCTTCTGGAAGCTCCAACTTCATAGCCACAGCCGATGCTATTTTGTTTCAGGGTTGAGGGGCAAGCGCGATAAAAACAGTATGGAGGGGCCTTGGGTTTTTGTGTTAGTGCTGGACATCAATTTCTAAGCCCAGCCTGAAGATAGAAAACTATAGGCCCTAAAGTTGGCTTTAAAGGCCCGATGCACCGTAAGGAGGCTTGGACCCTATAAGCACAGTCAGCTCCACGAGCAAAAAAAAGACCAAAACTCCAGAGCACAATAACCCAAATCTCCAGACCTTGACAGCTATAAACACTACACCCTAAGCCCTAAACCTCAAACCCAAAGCCCTAAACTAGACCTTAAACCCTAAACCGCTGGTCGCAGTCTGCCTCTGTCGGACTATCGTTGGATTTAGGCCTGGAGAATAGGTTAATAGGAGGTCCCACCCTCCCGACAAGAACCACCTAACCCCTACTTGGTCCCTGAAGAACCAACCTATAAGTCCTTCAAAAGGTAGGTTCTTCAGGGCCCAGGTAAGGGTCCAAAGTGCCCAAAAATGAGTACTTGGGTTTAGGACAGCAGCCATGTAGGTTAATATTTGGGAGTGTACATGATTATTAGCTACTTAGTACGTGGACCCT